GGGGGGTGGGCAGCAGAAGCATCACTGCCCATCAGGTGGGGCAGGAGAGGACCAAACCCTGGTCTTCCTCACTGCCACCACCCCCTGGTACCACCACCAGTAGCCTGCTGATATAATGGGATTTCAGATGAAACATGCTGATACAAGAGGGAATTTCTGCTGGAATTCTTCTCCCTGGAGCTTTTGCCCTGGGACCTTGCAGTAAACATGGCAAGTGTCTCTGTGGGGAGGCGGGAGGGCTGAGGGATGCTGTTTGGGGCTGGTCCCACAGCCACTCACCCCGGGATGCCACTGCTTTCCAGACTGGCACAGGTGGTGAGTCAGCCAGCCAGGCTGATTTCACTTCCAAGAGGAGAAAAGACCTTTGTTTTATGTATTTTTTTTAAAAAAATAAAAGCTTCTTACAGTGAGGATTCAAGGAGCTGGAGGTCTTACCAAGGGATAGTCCCCCTCCCTAAAACCAGAGGAAGGAGATGAGGGCTGTCAGCAGCAGAGCCGGTGTGGAGATGGCTGTGGATGAGGAGTTTGCACACCTGGAACAGCACACAGCCCATCTTTATTGCTGCTAGTAAAGATTATTTGCTGTTTATAGCAGAGATTTGTCTCCTGTGAGACGGGTGTAGTGTTCAGCTAACATAAAGCTCCCGAGTCGAGGTACCAATGTACCCATCCTGGGGCAGCTCTGCGTTGTGGGTGCCAGTGGCAGGGGCTGGGTCTGAGCGGTCCGAGGCTGCTGCTGAGGCTGGCGGGGAGCATCCTCCACCCGCCCCATCTGCCCACACAGAGGGACCTCATCTATGTGCAGGGGTTGGTGTTTTGATCAGCAGAAAGAGGAAAGTCCATGCCTGAATAAAGTAGTAATTAAATCCCAAAAGGATATGTCTGCACAGACAAGGTCTCCTTTCGATACCGAATGCAAACACTGATGTTCAGGGCAACACTTAAGGATGGGTTTGAATACCTGTTGCCCAAAAGGTGTCAGAAGGTGAGGAACTGCTGCCCCAGCAAGGGCTGGGACAAGGTTACCTCTTCTCCTCACCCTGCCCTTGAGTTCCTCCTGTGCCCAGGGATATGTCTCACAGCCTTCCCACCCGTGGCTGCATCACCACTCAAGCCCAGATAGAGAAAAATGAATCTATGAAGCCATCCCACCCCAGAGGAACCAGGGATGCTGCGGTTGGCTCCCGGCCACCCGCCACTGCCCCCCCCACTGCCTGGCCCCCTGCCAGCCCCACCTGGCCTTTGTGCTGGAGGCTGTTGCTCTGAACGCTTCAGCCTTCAATTTCCCGTCATAAATCAGCTTGCTGCTCTGGGAACTTGTTGAACGGTAGATTTTACTGAAATCCATGTCAGCAACCATTTGCTGTGAGAGTGACAACTGAATTTTACGCTGTTCCTGTTGTGGGGTCCTTATTTTACCAGGCACTATTTGGAAAGTAAGCTGTGAAGGTCGTCTGTGGCATCTGGGGATGGAGAAGAAACAGTTTGCTGAAACCCCTCTGCCTTCTTTCCCCTGACACTTTGGGCAAACTTCTTCCCTCCGTCCCTCCATGTCCCCCAGCCATTTGTCCCACCATCTCAGAGTCATCCGCACCCCACTGCGTACATATATGTATGTATATATGGGGCCCCAAAGCTGCAAGGCACCATGCTCCATTCACATGCACATGCAGTGACACTGCTGTTATTTGTGCTTTATTTCATTGCTGTCACCCAGGTGATCCTGCCTGGACTAAACAGCAACACGCTCTGTTCAGCTTTGCAGGACCAAGCTCTTGGCTGGACGTTGCTGAAGATGGGAGAAGCTTGGCAGATAAAGCCTGAGGATGTATTTCTAACACATGCCCTCTTTTTTTTCTGCAGCCCGGGGCAGTCTCCAGCCGTGGTCACAGGGTGTCATCGCTGTGGTTGTGTTTCTAGTCCTGGTAGCCATCGCTTTCGTGGTCAATAGGTTCTGGTGTAAGGAGAAGGTGTAAGTGTGGGAGCCCCAGGGGTTGCTTCGGGTTGGGCTTAGCTGCCTCTGCAAGGGTCACTTCCAGCTGCCTCTGTCCCTGTGCTGGGGCTGGGAACACTGTGATCGCTCTGCCAGGAGCCAGGCTGGGAGAGCAAAGACTCCCTGTCCTGGTCTCCCTGTCCTCTTCTCCCTGTCCTGGTCTCTGCTCCCTGTTACTTATTGCCAGGTGGGAGGCTGCACCGTCCGGATGCTGCCATGAAAAAGCACTGCACTGGGGACAGGAGAGCTGCAGCATCATGGCTGATTTACATGGGCATGTGTCTTGGGGGAGGCTGGCCTAAGCCTGGTTTCCTATGGATTTGGGGGTGCAGTTCACACATCTCATGGGGAAACAAGCCCAAAAAGAGCTTTGTTTGCAAAGCAGATTGAGCCAAGTCATCAGAAGGCACTGAGAGGAGCTGGGAGAAGAGGCAGGTAGCTGCGTCGTGGCAGCGCTCTCCACCCAGAGACTACGGCTCAGGCAAATGAGGTGGCCTTAATCATCAGAAAGGCTATGGCACTGGTTACCTCTTGCCCGCTGCCAGCCAAGCAAAGCCACAGGCTCAGCTGAGCAGGCTAACTGGCTAAGTTGCAGTAACTTGGTCTTGAATCTGAGCCCAGAGTCAACAGGGGATGAAGACTGAAAGTGCCCTATAGCCTGGTTCCCGGTTCCTCTGCACTGGCACGGGCGCTTTGGGCTTTGCACCCAAAGGTGCTGGAGTCTTCTTGCATCTGGGCAGCCATTCCAAGCCAAGGAGGTGGGGGCTTGGGGTGTACCCAAATGCTCAGCAGGTCTGCTTCTGTCCCAGATGCGTTTTAAGGGGGCCCTTTGGGATGCATTCAGGGCCAATGTGTAATGCAATGTGTACATATATATTTATACGGTCTGATTTGCAGCTGCAGTCTTTGTTTCCCAAAGAGAAACCTTTGTCCTCAAACTGGTGGAGCCCCCAGCTCACGCAGCGGGAAGCAGGGACGGTGTTTCCCACCTCTGCCCGTGTCCGACTGCCTCTTCCCAGCCTGGAGGCAGAGGATGCTGAGGAGGGCTTGAGGAGGGATGGTGGCTTGTTTTAATTAATCTGGCCACTCTTCAGAAGAGCTGGCAGCACTGCCAGCTCCGTGCTGTCACTGTGACAGCAGCTATCAGCTCAAGCCGCTGCCTCTTTGTGCCAGACTGTTCCTCAGCAAATCCTCCCAAATCGCCCTTGGGCGAGCACTGGAGGAGGCAAGGATGTGCACGCAGGGTGAACCGGCACCCACCCACCGCGGCTAAACCCTCCCAGGGCCATTCAGTTTGTGGGCTTGCTCCAGAGCCAAGCTTTTAGGCTTCAGCTGAGGCTGAACACCCGGTCCCTGCTCTGCAGTTCCTTCTGCAAACGATCCAGACTCACACCCGAGAGGAAGCCGCTCGGTTTTGCACAGATGTGCAGGCCTGCACCTCTCTTGCACCAGTGCTGCGGCACCCGCAGAGCCTCCGTGTTTCTCTCCTTGTCAGCTGGGACCTGTAGAGGACTATTTTGCAACAGATTACATAGAAGAAGACTGGAAAAACCAGTTAGTGGGAGAAAACAATCTCATGTATTGACAAATGAGTCCTGCTGACTGCCAACCCGGCACTGGGAGTATCAGCTCCAGAGGCAGGGGGTGGCACTCGGTGAAAAACTGCCATGATGCCATGACTGTGTCTCTTCTTGTCCGTGTCCTGCTGGGAAGGGGGCTGAGTTGGGTGTTTGAGGCCAGGATCACACGTCCAGGTCCCTTATTGTCTCTGTGGAGTGGAGCAGTCCCTTCCTCTGCGCTGTCACGAGCTGCTCCCTGGCTCGGCCCCTCCATTGCTCTCCTCAGCTCCTCTCTTCTCCCCCTCAAGGGAAAACGTCGAGACAGTGGTGAGTGTCGAGGACAAGAAGGAGCCTGTCATGTCCAATGGCCACGAAGGGAGATATCTAACTGCTGCAGCCGACTTCAGGTGAAGGACTTGCTCAGACTTCCTACCCACGGCTCCCAGGCTCTGCTCCATCCCCCTGGGGACAGCTCAGACACGCAGAGCCATGGTCTCTCCCAGTCAGGGCCTCACATGTCCCATTCACCTGGTTTTGGGGCTTTTATCCTCTCCAGGGGCTAAGGTGGTGGTGATGAGGGAGTATTCCCTCCTCCCCAGTCTCTCCCCATCCCTGCAGCTGAGCCCCATGGTCCATCCACCACCTTGCAACCTGCTACACCACATTTTTCTTATTCTGCATCATACCTTTCAAACAGAGGAAACCACTGAAAGTGGCCATGGGTCACTACGCAAGATGTTGACTATCAAAACATCCCTCACTAGAAATTAGAGCAATTCCCACCCCACATTTGGCTCTCCTTGCAGGGACACCCCTCCTGCCCTCCCCACTTTGTCCCTCGCTCAATGCATGGCCAGCACCAGCAAGGTCAGGGCCCCGGCTACGGCTTCAGGAAGGCTGGTCTTGCTGGGTTCGAGCTCATTGCTGTGCTTCTCCCTCCTGACACAGGTCCAAAGAGAGCCAGCACGCCTACGAGAATACCCTGGAACCCGAGGAGAGGGTGATCACCACCGCCATGTAGCAGGCACCCTGGCGAGCCACCCTCCTTCCTCCTCTCACTTTGCTTCGTGCTGTCATGATGGGCATTTCCACAGGGACCCTCTGCACCGAGCGCACAGCGTCTCCCAGACCTCTCCATGGCACCTCCATCTCCTGATCTTTTCCCTTCCCACCTGCAGGACATGCTCTTCTGCCTCGTGGGCTGGTGTCCATGTGGGCATCAGTCCCTGGGAGAGGTCTGGAGGTGCCACATCTCCTGTCTGGCGGACAACCCACTTGGTTGGCAAGGCTGGTGTCCCTGGTCCCAGGGGGATGCTGACCTGCTCCACGCATGGAGGGGGGCTCCTCTGGGTACCTGGGACCTCCCCGCACCCCCAGCTGCTCTTCAGGGAGCTGCTGATGGAAAACCTGCTCTCTTCTCCCCATTTCACTCTCTTTTTATGACCTACACCATACATTTTAATGCCAGAACAAACCTCCTCTGTATATATCTTCCCTGTGAGCAATAAAGAGAATTGTTGCCCATACGACAGTAAGGAGGGTCATTTTTCTAATCACCCAAAGGACTTTCTGGCATCTCGAAGCGCTCCCAGCCTTCAGGCAGTTTGGGAAGGGAAGGACACCAGGGAAGGCAGAGTGGGAAGGGTGCTTAGACAGAGGTCAGCACCCCCACCTCCCCCTTGATCCCTCCTGGGTAGGATTCATCTCTTATTTCCTTACTTGGATGAAGCTAAGAGCGCTTTTGCATGTGTCTGTGTGTCAACAGGGGAGAGAAAAAGGGGGAACATTTTTTTTGCTCAGCATTTGGACCACCCCAGAGCTGGAAAGGGCCATATGGGGAGGTGAGCATCATTCCCCTCCATTTACCAGGTGGGGAAACTGAGGCACGACACCAACTTGGCACTTCCCAGCGCTGCTTAATGGGTGAAAAGAAACGCTCCCTGGATCCCACTGACCACAGGGCACAGACCCACAGCCAGCTGGGGACCATTCCTAGGGCTGGAGGCTGCGAATGGCAATCACTGGTGTTGCCAGGACGTGACCGGGGGCTGCTCCAGGCAGTGCTGGCTCTCCCCGGGGCACCCGGCCATGGTGCAACCTGCTCCTGCCAGGCTGTTCATTAACCAGGGTCTGTTTTTTGCTGTGGTGGGGACAGGGCTGGGGCCACTGTGGGAGCAACAAGTGCTCCCAAGCCGCAGCATTCGCAGATTCAAACAAGAGACCTGTAACGCCCTGCCCTTCCCTGGGACATCAGTTGCCCAAGTGGTGTGCAGGGTCCTCCCCTTGACCAGCGAGGAAGGGGTTAAGGGGCTCTGCAATCAAGGCAGCCCGGGGGCTGCAGGTGGAGCAGGACTAGGAGGGATGGGATGGGGGTTTATAAGAGGGGCATTTTTGGCAGCCCCTGGGTTTGGGGAGGGAGCAGGGTGGTTTTGGGGCTCTGCTGTGCTTGGAGCTATGCAAATGCAAGGGGAAGGATGTGGCAGGAGGACATTGGGTGCCAGAGCCAGCTTTGCTTTCAGCTGAGCATCGAGGCAATGTTAGACCTGCTGTCAAACAGCAGCTGTGGTGGGTTTGGATCTAGGAGGAGCCCTGGCCTCTGCTCGGGAGGTGCTTTGGAGGCCAATTTGCAGGTAGTAATGCCCGAAACAGGCAGGGGGGTGGTTGGGTTGGAGGTGCCTCTTTGCCTCTCACTAGCAGAGCTCCTGCTCTGTGTGTTTCAACCCTGAATGGACTTCCCTGCTGCAAGGGCTGTTCTCTGCTCCTCTGTGCTTGCCAGTGACCTTAAAAGCCCCAAGCTTGTCCTGGAGGAGGTGCTGCCCAGCATGGTGCAGGCAGCAGGCTGCTTCTCCAGGGGAAGCAAACATCCTGTTTTCCTACAGCACTGAAACCTGATGGGTATTCCCCAAAGCAAAGATGTGACACTCCTGGTAGGGAGCTCAGCCCAAAATGGGCCCCTTGCCACTGCTGGGAGCCCTCCAGGATGGAGTAGGGAGCTGGAGCTGGACCGTGGTGCCACCACTTGCCATGAGCCACTCTCTCACTTCCAGCAGGTGAAGCTGTTGATGTCCCTAGCAGGTGGTGACACAAAAATTCAAGCATGGGAGTAAACCAGGAGCCTTCTGGTAACAGACCCACCCTGAAAGGCATCTCCCTGAAAAGCCTCACGTAGGCAACTGTTTTGAAAACGCCCTCAAGACTCAGCATTGAGAAATCACAACTCCAGTTGAGAAATTCCATGGGGGTAGAAGAAAACAGGCAGAAAGGTTGAACAGGTCAAGCCCTCGAGTGTGAAGGCATGACAGCTACTGTCCCCAGCATGACATCAGAGCTGTTCCCTTCTACCACCTTCCCTTGGGCAGCTGGAGGCTGAGCCAGCCCCAGGCTGGGTCCTGGACCTCCCCGCTCGTGCCCCCTATGGATGCTCCTCCCCTGACTTTTCTCTCGCAGGTGCCAAACGTCATGTGGGTTTGGAAAAAACAAGCTCCCCGGAGTTCAGCGGTAATGCTTCGCTCAGCAGGGTTTAAGAAGGATTAGTCATTGCGTGCTCCTGCCGCGTCAGCACTCGGGCTGGGAGTGTGGTGAGAGGAGGGGAACCCATTAATTTTTACCTCTTGGTTGCAGAAGGAGTTAGAAACAGTATCCTTATAATGAGTAACAGCGGGATTTTATCCCCTGCCCCCTGCACACACTGCGTGTGTAATGAATGTCCGAGTCGTTTCCCCGGCAGTGCCTGGGCGCGGGTTTGGCGTGGAGGTGTGCTGGGGGCTTGGTGGGTCCCTTTCCCTATGGATCCATCCTGTAGTCGTAGGTCCTAGCAAAGAGAGAGATGGGGCTTTACCACTGCACACCTTCGGCTAGCCCAGGAACCTTGATGTTTGGTTTTATCCCAGCCAGTGCCCCTTCAGAGTTCATTTTCCTAGGGAAAACATCTTTTGCAAGAGCCACTGTGTTACCTCCCTGGTGGGACCTCACCTCCACAGTCTGTGATGCCATCCTGCCTCAGTTTCCCTTGTCCGTCAAGCATGACCCGAGGCTGGCTGTGCAAAGCGGGCTGCCTTCCCACAAGCCGTGTAGCCAATTCATGGCTGCTTCTCGGTGTGATCCTAAAAAGAACAAAAGAGAGCGAGCATAAATGAAATTTATTGTTGGAAAATCTTAATTAGATTTTAAGCCCCAAAGGGAAAAAAGTGAGGTATTATCTGACACAGCTAATGAGTGTTAAGGGTCCATTGTTATATTTCTTGTTTACCTTTCTGTGCTGGCTGATACGGCCCGGATCCTCGCCTGTACTGCCATAATTAGGATATCTCATCTCTCGCTGATAGGGTCGGGGATGCTCTTTAAAGCACGATGCTGTCTCATCCCTCCCCAGCAGGATGAGTGTGACTGGGAAGGCAACTTCTGGTGTCTCAGCGCTCGTGGCCGCTGTGTTGACCCTGTGAGCTGGGGGATGCCCTCCAGAGCCAGGGCTGTTCCTGATAGCCTCCAGGTGATGGGCACCTCCAACAGCCTTGGTGACCTCTCTGAAGGGCCCTGAGCCAACTTGCCTGGGGGCCAAATCCTTCGCAGCACAGGGGGTGACCGTCTCCTCTATAAGTCACCTCACACTTACTGATGAAGGGAAGGACACATGTGGGTACCCCGTCCTACCCCTCACTCTGTAATGCCAGTATCTCTGAAGCTTGGGCTTCAGGAAGATGTTCAGGGTTGGGACCTGCTGTGGACAGGATAGTCTCCTTTTGGGCAGAAGATATTCAGAGTGGTCTTTTTGCATTACCACCTTGTTACAAGATGTATCACAGCTTTCCTTTGTGGCCTAGAAGGGTGCAACTCATCTCTTGGACCCCCAGGTAACGGGGCATCTTGTTGAAAGCCACCTTTACTCTGATGTTTCCCCAATGTCTCCTCAGGCTCTTTATCTGTGGAGGTTTAAGATGTTTCTGTTCCAGCTGTGACCACAACCCTGAGGCAGCTTGGGCAGGTGGACACCTACCATATAAATTATTCCAAGGTGGTTTAATTAAAGATTCGCTGTATGCAGGTAAACTGCTGCTGAAAGGATGACCAGCTCCAGCCCTGGCTCTGAGCAGCGTAGGCTGGGGTTTATGTCCTGGCATTGGGCACCTTCACACCCAAGCAATGCGATTTGGACCTCCAGAAGCAAAAAGGGAGCCCGTCCCACCATCGTGGTCCTTCAGGCTGGGGAAGGAGCCCAGCCACCCAGGTGGGAGCCGGGAGCTCAGTGTGCAGGAGTGGCTGTGTGTGGGCAAGGGGGCTGCAAAGTTTTTGGTCTTGATTCAAGCCACTGAAAGCCAGAAGTAAAATACCATCCATTGTTGGTTTATACACCCGTAGTAGCCAAACAAACATCCCCGGAGCCTGTCCTTATCACTTTATTACACCTGCTAGAGTGAATAGATTAAAGAGGATGGGGGAGGGGGGAGAAAGAAGAAGAATCCAGCAGAAAAACTGGGTTTTGGGATTGTTAATTATTCTCTGGGGTCTCTAATCTTTAACTGGCAAACAGCATCACTAACTGTCTTAAAGCCCCTCCTGGAACATCCTGATAATAAGCCATCTGCATGAAGGCACCCCGTTATCTGCCCTCCTCCAGCCGCCTGTGACATGGCTGGAGTGGGAGATAATGAATGTGTGGTGTGTAATAACGACACGTCATTCATGATTATCGGCCTGATACCCAACCTTTTAGCTCCATTGTTTGTGCTTCAAAAAAGAAGAAAAAAAAAAAAAGAGAGAGAAAGAAAAAATAAAAAGGAGGAGGGAAAGAAGAAAAAGGGGACATTTTGGTGCTACGGGCTGTCCCAGGGTCCCCGAAGCGTCTCCCTGCCAAAGGGGTTGGCTCTCGTAGCATCTCCCAGAGGATTTGGTGGTACCCTGGAAGAACTCGCCTGTGGATTGGCGGCTGCTGTAGCCATGGTGATGGAGGGAGAGAGCTGAGACAGCGCAGAAATGTCACTGCCTGGCAGGGAGACGTCTGGGGCAAATGCTCGGGCGATTAGATCTGTGTCACTGGGTGCTGCCTGGCTCTTCGCGCTGCTTTTTGCTGCTCTCGAAGCCATTTAGTGTTGGCTTGGGAGAGGAGGTTATCTTGAACATGCTGCTGTCCAGAAACTGCCAGCGTTTGCAGGCGGGGAGAGGGGGGGAGATGTTTGGGTTGCCCAGTTTGACCTGAATAAGCTGAAAAGTGGAAGAATTTTCTCCTGGTTGCTGCTGGATAATGGCTCCATGATGCATCGGTGCTGCAAGATCTTCCCCCAAAAGCTTTGGTCCTTCAAACTGCAAATCTGGGCTAAGCGTGATTCTTAATGGGGAGAGACTTTAAAGTGTTTGGCTCAGGTTACCTCAGATATTGTCAGAACTGCCTGGAATAATGATCCTTTTTCTGCACAAAAAATGGCAGTAGTTTCTACTCTCTTTCCTGAGCAGATTTCCCAGAGTGATGTCCCCAGGGAAGGTCTCTGCTGGAAGCTGTTGGGGTTTGGCCATTCCTAACAGTCAGGAGGACTCCTGGAAACCAAATGAGCAGCCTCAATCATGGCAGTGAGTAGGTGATGGCCTCAAAACACAGGGCTGGGAGGCCAAGCAGGCACCACACGGACACAGGTATGGGCAGCAGCTGTGGGTCCTCATCAGGTCTAATTTTTCCTGCTCTGGCCTTATGCCCCCACGCCCAAATCAGAAGATGCCATAGGGACACCTTCAAGTGCCACCTAGTTTCCTTTGCAACTCACCACCAATGAGACTAGGACGAGTCTCTGCAGCTAAGTGTTCCCCAAGCTCGTTGCTTGGACCACAAGCTGGAGGTGAGTGGATGAGCAGAGCTGCAAGGTGGCTTGCTTGCTCCTGGATGAGTGGCTGAAATGTCTGACAAATAGAGCCAGTCACAAAAAGCTGCATCAAACTGCTGCCCTCCAACGGCCCTGCTGTGCTGGAGCAGGGAGGAGAGCTGGAGTCTGACCTTTGAGACCAGCCTGAGTCCACCAGCAGTGCAAGCGTGGTGGCATCGGCATCTATGCAACTTACCCCTAGAGAGAAGTGGAGGGAGTGGGGAGAAGAGGAACCTTGTCTCCATCAGCCTTGCAAAATAAATAGAAGCTGCACCTTGCTGGTTATTCACAGCATCCCTGTCCCGGTAGGTACCAAGACAGCCAAAACAAAGGTCCGGATCCAGCCCTAGAGGAGTTTTGTTTCTCAAACTGAGGATGCAGCAGGCGGCAGAGAGGGGGAGCAGGGGGCTGCAGGGGTTTATGCAGATGTGGACGTGCTCAGATTTGGCTATCCTGGTCTGGCCGCAAGCAGAGTTGAGCTGCCCAGACAGACGGACGTGGTTTGGCTATGTTAGTGCCTACAGCGATGCTGGTGATGCTATTGCCATAGGTGACAGCTGGACAAAGTCTTGTCTCTCGCCGTGGCATAGCATCTGTGCAGCCCTCTGTGCCTCAGTTTCCCCTGATACTTGCTGACTGCCCAGGCACTCGCAGGGACAAGCTTTTCCTGTGCCGTGTGTAACACCACCATCGTGCTGGGGACCGTGATGGAGCAATGTCTGCTCTGCTGCCCTGCACGGCTGAGGGTGGGGATGGGATGGGGATGGGGATGCCCCCAGGGATGGGGCTGATCAGCTGCCCTGCTGGGCCTGGCCACGCTCCCTGCCAAGTCCAGGGGGTTTTGCCAGGGACCAGGGAGGACTTTGGGTTTTTTCTGGGTCTCCCACTGCCACCTAGCGATCCATCTCCCACCCCAGATCTGCAGTTCACCCAGCAGGTTCCCCCTTGGCCTGGGAGCCCACCTATGGCTGGTGCTGGTGGGGAGGCCCTGCAGTGGGTCCCTGCACCCCCAAAACGAGCCCAGCCCCACAGGCAGCGCCCACCTGCACCCCCTGGGCAGCTCACTCATGTACTGAGCTGTCAGTTCTCAGCCTCTGCAGAAAAGAGCTTGAGACGGACTCGTGCTCCCTCTTGGGACTTTCTTTCTTGCAAGCTGATTTTGTTCTTGCTACCAGCATTTGAGGGGGTGTGTGACGATTTCTGTTTTGCTTTGTTTGACCCCAGAACCCCAGTTGTTTCCTTACCACAGAAACTCCTGGAGGCAGAGGTGAGGGCTTGGCAACCCACAGCGTGGGAGGGGTGAAAACAGGCTCCTCAGGCTACATGAGGGTCAAACCCACTGAAACAACCCTTACAGCTTGAGAGAACACTCTCAGTGCTGCACCCTTGGGCACAGCCTTGCCTCCG